TCCAGAAACAGTGTGTATTAGGCTGTTCTTGCATTGATATAAAGAAAAACCTGAGACTGGGTAATTTATAAAGAAAAGAGGTTTAATTGACTCACAGTTCTGTAGGCTTTACAGGCAGTATGGTGCTAGCATCTGCTCAACTTCTGGGGAAGTCTCATAAAGCTTACAATCATTGCGGAAGGTAAAGAGGGAGAAGGCACATCACATGGTGAAAGCAGGAGGAAGGAGGAGAGAGGTGGAGGGGCAGACGCCACACAGTTTTAAACAACCAGATGGCATGAGAACTCACCCCCCATTGTAAAGACAACACCAAGCCATGAGGCATCCACTCCCATGATCAAAACACCTTCCACCAGGCCCTACCTCCAATACTGAGATTACAATTCAACATAAGATTTGGGTGGGGACGCAGATCCAAACTATATCTTTCCACCCCTAATCCCTCCCAAATTGAATATTCTTCTCACATTGCAAAATACAATCATGCCTTCCTGACAGTCCCCCAAAGTCTTAACTCATTCCAGTGTTAACTCAAAAATCCAAAATCTCATCTGAGACAAGGCAAGTCTCTTCTACCTATGAGCCTATAAAATAAAAACAAGTTATTTACTTCCAAGATACAATGAAGGTATGAACATTGCATAAACATTGCCATTCCAAAAGGGAGGAATTGGCCAAAAGAAAGGGGCTACAGGCCCCACGCAAGTTCAAATTCCAGCACAGCAATCATTAAAATTTAAACCTCCAAAATAACCTCCTTTGACTCCATGTCCCACATCTAGGGCACATTGATGCAAGGGGTAGTCTCCTAAGGCCTTGGGCAGCTCTGCCCTGTGGATTTGCAGGGTTCAGCCTCCAGGGCTGCTCTCATGAGTTGGAGTTTAATGCCTGTGGCTTTTCTGGGTGCAGGGTCCAAGCTGCTGGTGGATCTACCATTCTGAGGACTGGAGGATGGTGGCCGCCTTCTCACAGCTCCAGCAGGCGATGTCCCACTGGGGCCTCTGTGAGGGCTCCAGCCCCATATTTCCCCTTGGCACTGCCCTAGTATAGGTTCTCTGTGAAGGCTCCACCCATGCAGTAGGCTTCTGCCTGAGCACCCAGGCTTTCTCAAACATCTTCTAAAACGTAGGATGCTACGCATTCTTCATTTTTGCATTCTGTGCACCTACAGGCTTAACACCATGTGGAAGCCATCAAGGCTTAAGGCTTCTGTTCTCCAAAGTGGCAGCCTTGCCTGTATCTGAGCTCCTTTGAGCTGAGGCTGGAGCCAGAATGGTTTGGATGTGGGTAGAAGTGCCCTGAAGCTGCACAGGACAGCAGAGCCCTGGGCCTGGCCCATGAAACCATTCTTCCCTCCTTGACCTCTGGGTCTGCAATGGAAAGGGCTGACTGAGAGATCTCTGAAATGCCTCTGAGACCTATTTTCCATTGTCTTAGCTAGCAGCACTTGGCTCCCTTTTAGTTATACAAATTTCTCTAGCAAGTGGTTGCTCCACAGCCTGCTTGAATTCTTCTCCTAAAAAACCTTTTTCTTTCTCTGCCACATGGCCAGCCTGCCAGTTTTCCAAATTTTTGTGCTCTGCTTCTCTTTTAGATACAAGTTCCAACTTTAAATCATTTTTTTGCTCCTTCATCTGACTGTAGGCTGTTAGAAGCAGCCAGGCCACCCTTGAACAATTTGCTACTTAGAAATTTCTTATGCCAGACATCCTAGGTCATCACACTCAAGTTTAAACTTCCACAGATCCCTAGGACATGAACACAATCCAGTCAAGCTCTTTGCTAAGACATAACATGCATAACTTTTACTCCAGTACACAATAAGTTCCTCATTTCCATCTGAGACTTTGTCAGCCTAGCCTTCACTGTCCATATCACGATCAGTATTTTGATCATAACCTTTTAATCAGTCTCTAAGAAATTCCGAACTTTCCTTTTCCTCTTTTCTACTGAGCCCTCCAAACTCTGTCAACCTCTGCCCATTACCCAGTTGCTTTCACATGTTCATGTGTCTTTATAGCAGCACCCTTCTCTTCAGTACCAGTTTTCTGTATTAGGCTATTCTCGTGCTGCTATAAATACCTGAGACTTTGTAGTTTATAAGAAAAAAGGTTTAATTGACTTGCAGTTCTGCAGGTTATACAGGAAGCATAGTGGCATTTGTCTAGAGAGGCCTCAGGAAGCTTCCAATCATGGTGTAAGGGAAAGGGGGAAGAGAAACATCACATGGCAATAATGGGAGCAAGAGCAAGAGAGTGGGAGGAGATGCCACATACTTAACCAAATCTCGTGAGTACTCACTATTGCAAGAACAGCACCAAACCATGAGGCATCTGCCCCTATGATCCAAACACCTCTCACCAGGCCCCACCTTCAGCATTGGGGATTATAATTCAACACGCAGTTTGGGCAGGGACAAAAATGCAAACCATATCACAATGCTTGGAAAGAACATACAGTTGGCCCTTATGCAACAGTGGTTTAAACTGCATAGTCACCTTACACTCAGATTTCTTTTCAATCAGACTCTGATAAAAAAAAATACAGTATTCATGAGATACAAATTCACACGTATGGAAGGTCAACTTTTCCTATATCCTTGGGTCCCACAGGGCCAACTGTGGCACTTTAGTATGTGTATATGTTGGTATACAGAGGTTGTACTGTAACCAATCTCCCAGTCAGAGAACAGCAATGATGCCAAGTTGGTCAGGAAATAGAGAAATGGAGTGGGTATAATCTAGGAGGATGTGAAAGGATTAAGGAGGGAAAGGCTGTGAAAAGGGCTCACACAAGAGGGATCCTGAGGAAGGGATCAAATTCAGTATTTAGAGACTTACTAGTGTCTGTCTGAAGAGAGCCCTCAACTGCCTTTGCAGGAAGTGAGTTCAATCAAGCCAGTACTTAACACAGTCTGTTGGTCTTGGTCTTTGCACAGCATGGTAATATCAGAGTAGTGAGGCTTTTATATGGCAGTTTAGGGTTCCAAGACACCAAGGAAGAAGATGCCAGTTCTCTTAAAGCTTGCGCCTGCAGCTAGCATAGCATCACTTCTGACATTTTCTATTGAGCAAGTAGTCACAGCAAACTCAGATTCATGGGAGGGGGAAATAGACTTTACCTCTTGATGAAAGGATTATCAAAAATTTCAACCATCTTTACTCCATCACACCTTTTTAAAGAGGTGATACATGAGTTGAGAGATGAATACTAAAAATAAATGAGACCTGAAACATTTTGAAGATATATATACCTGAGAAATAGAATAGTATATGTAAAAGCTAAGTCTCCTTGGATGGGAGCTTCACATTTTCAAAAAGCAAGAAGTAGGTGAGTATGGTTGGAGCATAGTGAATGAGAGGGAGCGTTAAAAGATGATACAGATGAAAAAGGCAAATTAATTTTCATTGTTAAAAAGTATTACTCATAAATACTTTCAAAAAACTATAATTTTCCTTAACACTGCAAATCCCGAATTCCTTTAACTCTTTAAATTGTTTCTTTATCTTCATTTCAAAAACAATAAGGTTATATTGAAAATTCTTGGAATATCTATTTTTGACTTTTTTGACTTTCTATTATAAAAAACGAAGATTTAACTGTCATCAACCATATATATACATATATCTCCCATCTTCCTCAAATAAATCTATAACAACAATTTAAATTAGTATTTAACGTTTTCACTATTAAAAACACACTTTTTAGAACTGACTTGTGTGGTATATTATTCTCTTCTGTAGCTTTTTGCTTTTATTTGAGTTATAATTGCCTCATTGTTTCATTTGCTTGCTTTTTAAAATAATTGTCTAAATTTAGGTCCAAATTTTTTGACAGAAGTATAAAATTCTTCTCATTAAAATTAAAATACATTAGGTAATTTATCTTTCTTCCTTTTGAAAAAAAAGTTTCTTGAAGTTATCTCTACTAAAGCTCTCTGTGCTTCTACTTAATTTAGCCTTATTATAGCCTAGACATGCTTGATAGCAGTTAGCATGGAACTTTCCCACACCGTTTATGTCTAACTTCTCTTTACCACATTCTCTTATTGAATTGAATTATTTGTTTCTCCTTTTCTTCGTTCATTGCCACATTTTCATATCCTTTATTTCCTGAAAGAGGGGGTATAAAAGATTTTTAAAAATAAAGCTCTTCCACTTAATAATTTACCCCAGATCAGAATTCAATAATAAATTTATTTTCTCTCAGAATTTGGAAAGACTTGCTTACTTTTCATTAAACTCTCAACATGGTAGAAAATGTCAGTGTCCTTGAAGAAAGTCAATTTGTATATGACTTTCTTTTTTTCTTGGAAATTTTCACATTTAAAAAATCCCTATTGTTTTGCAATGATACGATATGATTTCTTTTGTAAACATTCTGCTGCAATCTTGGTGAACACTTTCCATCTGGAAATTCAAGACTTTACATTTGGAGTAATTTTCTTTTATTATTCCTTTGATATTTTCTATAAATTCCCTCTGTATTCTCTTTCTAGAATTTCTGTTAATCAAAAATTCAAGTCTTTTTCTTCTGGGGTTTTACTTTTTTTGTTTGTTTGTTTTAAAAAAATATCATCCTATCCCTTTTATCTGTATTTTCTTTCTGGAATTTCTATTATTTAGAATTTAGAATTGGTTTTCACATGGCTTTACTTTATCTCTCTCCTATTTTCCATCTCTTTTTTTTTTCTGTGTTACTGACTGGGTTGTTTCTACAATTTTATCTTCGGTCCCTTCAGTTAGATGGTTTAATTTTTGCTCTCTGTGATAGGCAGAACCCACCCCCACCCCGCCCGATCTGCCAAGCCAACCACAAAGATAACCAAGTGCTAATCCTCACGACCTGTGAATATGTTGTGTTACATGGCAAGACATTAAATTCGCAGATGAAATTAAGGTGGCTAATTAGCCAGCTTTAGGATAAGTTGGATTATCTAGATGGACCAAATGTAATTACAACAGGCCTTTAAATATGGAAGAGAGAGGAAGGAGAGTTACCGTCAGAGTCATGCAATGTGATGGACTCCATATGTCATTGCTGGATGTGAAGACAGAAGGGGACCACAAGCCAAGGAATGCAGTCAGTATCTAGAAGCTGGAAAAGGCAAGAAAACAAATTTGGTCCTGATGATACCTTGATTTTAGCCTACTAAGACCCATTTTAGACTTCTGGATATAAATTTGTGTTGTTTTAAGCCACTAAATGTGTGGTAATTTGTTACAGCAGTAATAGAAAACGAATATGCTATCATATTTTCAATTTCTAAGACCTATGTATTATTTCTTAATATTATCTTTTCATAGAGTTCTATTTATGTAGAAGAATTTCTTTTGTCTTTGAGGGTGTTAAATACATAGGGTAATGTTTTCTTTGTATTGGATCTTTTTCTCTGAAATCTTTTCTTTTATTCCTTTTAATTCTTGTCTTGTATATTAGAGCCTTCCTTCAGAAGTCTAAGGTCCTTGATTTTGCATTTATATTTAAGTGTAAGGCACTGAAATGATGGTTAGGAACTCTTTTAGTCTGGACAGTTTTTTTGACCAGTGGGCATTACCATAGGTAAACAGGCAGGAATCTGGCCATTCCTTTAGGAGACTCTCTAATGCCAGTAAGTCCAGTGTTGTTTTTCTTTGTCAGTTCCCTAGACAGGTGGTAACCCATGTTTGGTTTGAAGCATACAATGATAGCAGCTAATATTCTAGCAGTCAAGTGAAAAAAAAAGGTGATTATGAATGTTTTGTTCAAGATGCAGGCTGTTAGATAGTTAGATAATCACTTAAGAACATACTGGCTGCCTGCTGAAATTTTAAACCACTGGAGAGATGGAAGTCCAAGTATCATCTTTCTCACTGATTTGGTTAGAAAAATGTGGCTTAGGTTTAAAGGCCAAATGGAAAAATATTCAAGTTCCATGCCTGGTTTAAAGGCCAAATGAAATAATATTCAAGTTCCATGCCTTTGCCTAGGTCAGCATACTTGAGGGAACATTCAGGTGTACAGAGCCAACTTACTTACCCATGATCACTGCCTCACACTGAGAGAGCAAAAACATAAAACTAAAAGACAAAACAAAACAAAAAAACCCTGAGGAATTAGATTGTCCTGTTCATGAAACATAGATCAATAGTTATAACTCAATGATCAGGTAATTGTCTCCTTCTCCATGGGAAAATGTAAGACAGGAATAGGACAAGATGCCAAGAATTTACTCTAGCAAGTCCTTCTACATATAACCTGAAAGTGGGAATAGGCATCCCTCAATATACAAGTATATACCTCAATATACTTGGTGTCTCAGTAGTACCCTGGATCCACAGTCCCTTTCCACAAAAGGTGCCATCTCCTCGAGTAAGATAATCTGAGGAACTAATTGCCTACTGTATAGATTCAAAGCATCCTCCCATTTTCAGCCCACCTTGCTCCAGGCTGTCGAACATTTTATGTGCCTGTGATCCTGAATTTGGAAGCTCAAAATTGTTAGGTGTTTTTTAAATCCTCCTCCACACTCCCTTGTAAGTAAGCAGATTTCAATTTTTCCCTCTTGTAAGTTATTTAGCACCAGTCCTTCTGCTTCCTACCTTCCAAAATTTTATTGACGTCTCTATCTGCTCTCATCTCCTATCTCTGCTGTGTGTCTTTGAGGTTTATCTTTTTTTAATGTGTTTATTGATATGTTAGGCAACTTATTTTGAGGAAAAAGAGTACCTTCAATCTATCATGTATAATTGCGATTCCTTTTGTGATCTTCTATATTTAAAAATAATTTATAAAATGAATATTTTTTGTAATCACAAAGAACACAATAAATATTATTTTTAAGAGAATTAAGATTTCAGTCTAGTGAAATTTTTACCTCTACTCATTCTAATTTATTTTATTTACTTATAATTTTTTATGAAAAAGTAATTTCAGGTATCTCTCCTATATATAAATGGCCCAGTTATTCCATTTGCCAATTTTCCCCCCAAAATTACATTTCATTAAAAGGCAAATGCTGTTTGCCTGGGTGTTAATAAATTATTACCACTTCATATACAACACATATTGTACAACACATATTTTATAAATTTGGAAAAATGTAACAACTGAGCAAATAGTATAGTGAGAAGACTAATATATATTGAGTACAAATGTAAACACATTATTCTTGCCTTATAAATGAGAAACTTAAGGGTCTTCAAGCTTAAGTAACTTATCCAAGGTCTTCTGTTCCAAAGGCCATATATACACTTTCCATATACTGCCACCAACTTCTGTAGACCAGCGCATTTTTTTCGATAGGTTACTATGTGGCTATTCAACCAGATATATTAAAGTATTTATTTTATGTCTTTCATGTCTTAGTTTTCTATTGACAAAATGGGAAGCTCAAACTCCCATGTCCTTTCATTTTCTCTTGGCTTTCAGAATTGATATGAGAACTAAGGCACCATCTAAAACATAGACACATCAAAAGGAGCTCTAGAATTACAAGTTAGCATAATTTACCATAAAGAATTGTTCCCCAGCTGGGGTGTGCTGTGGCTGGAGCCCAATTCAATACCAGGAAGCCAGTAGACCCACCTTGTTGATTAAAAAAAAAAAAAAAAGCTTCATTCTACATTTTACTGATATGCTTTGGGATTCAGTGCCTTCACTGTTCTCTCAGCCTTTGTTATTATTAATACTTAATTTTAATGGAAGAAGGGAGGATTTTGATGTGGGTGGCTTGCTTCTTCTTTTTGTTGTTGTTAAATGTAGCAACAAACAATCAAATCAAAGGAAGAAGAATACAAAGAAAATGGGTGGTGAATAAACAAAAAGGTCAGGACGCTAGTATTTAGTGCAATTTCTGGGGAGCTATTAACTACACTGTGATTGGCAGATTTAACAGTACCTTCTGCTCTCTTTTGCCAGCAACTATGCAATTATTCCAGGTGTTGTAGTGGAATGACTCTATCAAATTTTATAGGATTAATCAGCATGTAAATGTTGGCAGGCTTCAGACTCAGATCTGGACTTCAGGTGCAGACTTAGAACAGGTGGAGAAAAACACTTCTTCATTTGTTTTTAAAAGAGATTTATAAATTGGCCATACAACTTCTGCCCCAAGACAGCTTATTTTATGACTTTTTACTCAGAATAATCTATCTTTGAAGTGTACAAAAACTTAACTGTGTACTAAAAAGGTAAAAATGATTCCAGAATTTATAATATGCATGAATATTACAATTCTGTATTTCCTCTTTGAAATTCTGGGAAATATTTCGGTTATTGTTGTTTTGGGGCTTGGTGGGGGGAAATATTTTAAACATTTCTTCTGTTGGTTATAACTTCATAATATGTCATAATGTTGCTGAAACACCAAGGGTTTGGTCTAGGTCCCATTGCCTTTCACACAGAAAGCCAATCACTGAGAGGAATATTACCAGGGAAGAAGGCTTTATGCAAGTGCTGCAGGCAAAGAGACAGGAGATAAGTCTCAAATCCATCTCCCTAGTCTACTAAAATTAGAGGTTTATATAACAGGGAAGAAATGTTACTTGGGAGGACTAAGGAAGCGGAATGGGCCAACACATAGCAGATGGTCAGTCAGGCAATCATGTCAATGAAGGGGTCTGGTGTCTCCTTGTCCAGATGTGGTGATGTGCTGAGTTTCAGTTCTTTGATACTATCTGGGAGGGGGAGGGGCACTAAAGGTAGATTTACTGAGAAAGGAATTCAGATAAGACAAAAGTAAATTTCCAGCTTTACAACAGGGAGGGTCAATTTCTGTTTATTAAAACAAAATAACCTGTAAACATCAGTTCTATGGAGAAATTGGAATGCTTTCAATAATAGTAAACAAAGAGACAAACAGGGTCTCTATTAGTTCCATCTGTCAAATTTTTCTTTAGTGATGTCAGAGAGATGTTCAAGAGGGATTTGGGACACTGTGTAAAGCTCATTGTCTCATTAACTATTTGGCATAAACTCCTCTACTCATGAACTTCCAATGCTCCTAATTGCCTACAGCAGTGGTTTTCAATTATTTGTCCTTGCCAAAACTAATTTAGGCACTCTTTGAGTAACAACAGCTCACTCCAGCAGGAACACTCTGCACCTTGAGGATGGGGCATGACAGAGCGGAGTAGGAAAGTGACATTTTGAGAAGCTCTTTTAGATGTTTGGATATCCCCTCTCGCCTCTGGCCCCAGTAGAGAAGCACTGTCCCCGAGTATGGAGTTCAAACATCTCAGTTTGCTATTTAAGGCTCTTCAGTTCTAGTTTGACCTAGCTACCCAGCCTCACCTCAAACCCCTTCTCTAACAACATGAATTTTAACCAGACAGCTTCTCCATTATACCTTCATTCCTGCCTTAGTATTTTTTTATTGCTGTTTCATTTTCAAACCAAAGACTAGTTCAATCTCACCTTTTCTAAGATACTTTTCCCAGCATTCCCCAAACAACTGTATTCTGTCTGTATAGTCCTTGTTTATATTACTAGTTTGATCATGAACAAGTATAGATCAGAGACTCACTTAAAATGGATGTGGCATGTTCTGCAAATGCTGGATTTATAGTACGTACTGAGTAATTTAGCAGCTCTACCATTGTTATTTAAAATCCCTTTTCCATTGTCTTATTTTTGTTCTGTTTCTTCCACGTTTTTTGTTTGGTGGTAATTGAGAGACTGTTGGGCTTCACTATTTTGAAAGAAGTTATTCTACAAGACACTTTGTTTCAACTCTCCACTAAATTGACAGATGAGGTTCAGTGCTGAAATGACTAGCTCAGTCCCACTGGGGTTATTGTTCTTTTTCAATTGAAGATATTTGTTCTATCTTATTAAAGGTACCTCAAAACTTCAGCAAATGTATCAAATAACCCAAGGCTCTCGTATACCCAATGTTAGTCATTATGATAAATAATTCATTCATCAAATCAATTCTAAAATCATTAATTTTGTTGATATACTAAATATACTAGTTAATGGTAACCGTTTCTACCTTGAAGGACAAAACAGTAGGTGAAGTTAGAAGTAAACTTAGATATCCTTGAACTCCTTTCTTCTGTGGGAACAAGGAAGGCAATACTTTTTTTTTTGAGTTTTGTTTGTTTGTTTTTC